TGTGTAGCAAGAGATCAGAAGCCAGCAGTATACCTATCCAGATAGGCTGTGGGGCCCTAAAGCATGGTGTCAGGGAAAAATCAAGGACCTAAGAAGCTCTAGCCACAAGAATGGTTTAGGAAATGGGTTGACCAAAAAAAAGGAGAATCTGTTTCTTCAGCAGCCATGCTGTGGACTGAATTGTGTCCCCTCAAAATGTACATGTTGAAGCCTTATTCCAACCCCAATATGATGGCATTTATAGGTGGGGCTTTTGGAAGGTAATTATGTTTAGTATGAGGTTATGCAGCTAAACGCCTCATCATGGGATGAGCATGCTTGTAAGAAGAGGCACCAGAGAGCTTGGTTTCTTTCTCTCTTCCCCTCTCTTTCTCTTTTCCTCTCTGCCTTCTGACGACACAGCAAGAAGGCAGCCATCTGCAAAACAGAGAGTCCTAACTGAGGAAATGCGTTGGCTGGGACCTTGATCTTGGACTTCCTAGCCTCCACAGCTGTGAGAAATATATGTCTGTTGTTTAAGCCACCCAGTCTAAGACATCTTGTTATATCAACCAGAGCCAAGAGCACTACGACAAGCTAAGAGCATTGGCTGAAGCACTTCTCTTAGAAAATGCAAACTTTCATGTTTCCTTATAGAAAGCATTTGCTCACCATGCCCTGGAGCCAGAATATGCATCACCATGTAGAATATACCACTTCTCAGCCTCTGAGTTCCTTTCCAACACAGCCCCTGGCACTCTTAGCCAGTTCAGATTACTGTGTGCCCAGTAGACCTTGGGGAGACACCAGAGTTTTTCCAAAATGTTTGGAAGGGGAAAATCAATAATGACCTGGAGGCAAAGATAGGAGAATTTTTCTCTACAGTGCTGTGCCAAAAGGTCACCCAATGTTGCCAATTGGTCTGCAGGGAATTTCTTTAAAAGACTCTGCCTCATAGCTTAATCTGTCACATACAGATTTATGGCCTAAAACAGCACTTTTCAAACTGAATCACAACCCATTAGTGGGATGTGAAATCACATGGGTTCAGCCAACTTTTTTAAATGAAATAGATGAAATCAAACAGCATATAACAGAAAATATTAAAGTGCATTGATGGTAATAAGAATAAACATTGTTTTATAAAATTGTCTCTGTTTTATACACACACACACACACACCCCTTACTATCGAAATTTATTTGGTTCCTAAACAATAATATATATAGCAAGGGATCCTATATAATTAGTTTGAGCTGACAAACAAATGTATTTAAAATTATAAAGGTATACACATAATTGTGTATACATAAATGTGTATATATAAATGTGACACAGAAATGTATTATTTAAAATTACATTGCAGGGGGGAGGAGTATATGCAAAGTCCCTAGCCTAAAGAAACTACAGTAAGTAGAATGGGAACCAAATTAAAAAAAAAAAAAAAAGGTTTCAAAATAGTTTAATACATTCTTCTCTTGTCCTAATTATCTTTCATTAGGTTTGGTTTCCTTGGATTTGTATGTCTGGGAATACATCTAGTTTTCTTATCAACTTTCTTTCAACATGGAACAACAGGGAGAAACTAAAGGTGGGACAACTGAAAACAGGACATGGGTTTGCATGCAGAGATGAAATCTGCACCACCGAACAGGCTGGGCCACTTCCTGTCATTCCATGTGCCAAACCACTGGGCGGGAGCTGGACCAGAGGCAGCTCCCTTCTCCCTCAGAAAAGCCTTTAAAATGCCAGTTTCTCAAATCACTGGGCAAAAGACCAACTGCTCTCGAGGATCTGGAGCCCTTAATAGGATCATGGCCAATTCGTATTTTTAAGCAGAGTTGAATGTGTGTATGTGTCATGATTTTTGTAAACTTTTTGACAAACTCTATGAACAAAACAGTGTCTTGAAATGTGATTTTAGGAAAATTACTTTGCCTGATACTTTTAATTAGCCCCTCTACCCTATACCCTCCCCATCAAAATTAAGTGATGACATCTGTCTTGGTGTCAATGGCTGCATGTGGATCAGTGCTGCCAGCACCTGCCTTTGCCAGCACTATTCAGGGGCTTCAGGTGGATATAGTCTTGGGAGTTTAGCTCACCTTGAGTTCCCAAACACATCCTCAGAGTGTATCGCCCCAATGGTCACAGTCCAATCTTCTTGCAATCAGGAGTCACTACTTTACAACAGACAATTGTAATGGAGGAGCCAACAAGTCACTAATTCTGGTGGAGATTGTCTAGTTCCTAGAGCTAACCATAACAGCAACACCACAAGCACTGTTCTCTTAGCATATTAATGACATCTGCATTACTAATGAATTAGAGTCACATTGGCAGGCGGATTTGGCCCAAGGCTGAGAGTAAAGGGTTGAAACTGATGACCTGAGTTCAACTCGATCTCTAGTGTAGGAAGGAAGAAAACTTTAATTACTCAGCCAGTATCTGTGATGATCATTCTGCTGCATTCTCTGGCTCTATCGATTCTTAATAATTATATCTGGAATAGTAGTTGCTTTATGTTTTAGGTTTACTTAAAAATTTCTGATAATGAAATACTTCTCAAAGTCTCAGCCAAACAGAGTAAGCATGCACCTCATGAATGCTGCCATCTACAGAGAACTTACCTAACAATACGCTTTACTGTTCACAAATAGAGCCTAAGTAAGACATTTTAGCTTTGATTGTTCCTCAACATAGTTTAATTCTGTGATCTTTTACAGTAATCAAAAGACTAGATAACAGAGCGAGAATCTTAGCAATGTATAGACAGAGGGTCTCTGACAGGATGGGCTTAACTTACGATTTTTCAACTTTTATGATGGTGGAAAAGTGATACCATTCAGTAGAAACCATACTTCAAATTTTGATCTTTTCCTGAGCTAGCAATACGTGGTAGGATGCTCTCTCTGATGCTGGGCAGCAGCCACCAGCCACAGCTCCCAGTTAACCACAGGAGGATAAACAACCGGAACTCTAAAGTGTTCCGTGTGTTGCCAGTGTTTTTTGAATATTGTGTTTTGTGTTTCATATCTCACCATGTCTACAAAATCCCATCTGTACGCAGTATTTAACAGTTACTATAAAATAGGCTTTATGTTAGATGATTTTGCCCGAATGTAGGTTAATATTAAGTGTTTCGAGCATGTTTCAGGTAGGCTAGGCTAAGCTACAATGTTTGTTAGCATAGGTGTAGTAAATGCATTTTCAATTTCAACTACAGTGTGCTTATTGGGACATAACACCTTCATAAATCGAGAAGTTTCTGTATAACTAATTAATATTTGTCCTCCAAAAATCTACTCCAACACGTAATTCTGAACTGAAAAATAAAAAACCCAAACTTCACATTTCTTAGTTTTTTTCAATGCAGGCTACCATCTCATAGAGGTATGCAACTGGCAGTTTATTTTTTTTCCCATTTCTCAAATTAAAGAGAATTTCTTGAGTTTCATGATGGTGAAGCTTATTCATAAAGACAAAGTGTGTGGCTAAGTCAGCCTATTTGAAGCATCTAGGGTTAATGTTACTCTGAAAACAGACGTGCTGCTGGGACAGTCCCTGCAGCAGCATCAGGCACTTCCTCTACTATACAGCAGTTTAGAAAACATCAAGTAAACAATTTTAAGTAGATCATCTCTTTACTCAGAGGTCTACATGGTTACACTGTCACGCATCATACAATTAGTAACAGGCAGGTTTTGGACCTTACAAAAATCGACATCATTGTCCTTTCATTTCCACCTACATATAGATCTTCAGATGAATACTGAAAAACTTGATCAAAAATGGACGTTTATGTATACATTATTCAGTGCTCAAATACTTCAAAACATTTTTAACAGTGACAAATTACCAAATTTTCATCAGAAGTTTGCCTATTTTACACATCTATATTCAATGAGCCTTCAATAGTAGTAGCAAATTGGGGGGAGAGTGGGCAGTGATCACTACATCTTCCCACTAAATACCAATATCCAGAATCCTGCTCTGAATCCTCCAGTGGCTTGAAAAAAATAAAAAGGCTATTAGCAAAACTATATCGAGCAAAAAGAGAATGGAAAATGAAATTGCAAAGAAGTAGTAAGTACAGAAGCTGCAACTTGTGAATCGTTGAAATTACATCTTCAGATTCCCTATACTAAAGAGCCTGGATCTAAAATAAGTGTTGAAAACAAATCTCCTTACCTATGGATAACAGGGAGAAAAGACGAAAAAAAGGAAGGGAAAGAAAACTATAATTTTCAATGGATACAAATACGAAAGCATATGGAATCATTCAGAAGGCCAAACTGCTAACTGTTTAGATCTTCAGAGGAGGGATAGGGGGCATACCTGCAATCCTAGGGAGATGGTCTGTTGCATATATAATTTAAATAAATCATTCCAGCCCATGAAAGAAGAGAAGCAGCAGCATTCTCACTAATTACCACTGCCTGGATCCCATATGCTGCTTTCTCTTTTAAAGCCACACTAGTTCATTATTCTGCCTTCAACTCTCTTAAATGATTCATTTCTTCCTTCACTCCTGAGCAGACTCTGCAGGGAAGCTAGTATTTAAGTTTAATTTCTAGTGTCACTTGCTTTGGAGAGCTTGACGAGGGGATGGAGGAAGAATCTAATTTAATAATTCTGTCTTGATTTGGAGGAGCACCCTCCGGCCCCCATCCCAAAAAATAACTAGACAAACAGGACCCTCTGGCAAGCTATAATCGTGAGCAAAGACATCAATTGGGAAAGCAGGGCCCACGTGCGGTGGGAGCTGTCACCCAAGGGAAGTGGCAGTCTGCGAGAAGGAGGGAGGGCTCATCCTACAGCTGCACCGGCCTAGGCGCTCTGGTGGGGTGGGAAGCACTCGAGCCGCACCTGAATGAAGGTTAGCTCTCTCCCAGACACTAACTAGGCGGGGAGAAAACGAAGGGCACGGAGGCAGGCTTCCGCACTCTCGGAGCCGTCGCTGCGAAAGGGACAACCCTGAGTGCACGCCGCGGGCTTCCCCAGCTGGAGCCCGCGCCTTACCGTCCCAGCTCCGACTCCACCTCGAAGAAATCGCTCAGCGCATCCCTGTTGGAGCCGTCGATCCAGTAATCCGGGACGAGGCTCGCGGTCCCCGGGGCCGCACTGGCGGTGACCGAAGAGCAGGACGAGGCGGAGCAGGAGGGCACCGTGACTTTGAGCATCTTCGCAGCGGGACTCCGGAAGCCGCCGCCGCCGCCGCCGCTGCCCGAGCGAGAAACCGGCCGCCAGCCGCCGCCTGCGAACGCAGGAGCGAGAGAGAGGCGGCGTCCTTCACGCGCGCACACGCCCACCGCCGCCGCCCGCGCTCTCAGGGACGGTGGGCGGGGAAGGGGGCGAGCAGCGGCGTGAGGGCGCGAGGGGGAACCCGGAGTCGCCGCCCGCCGGAGGGAGACGAGCGGCACAGCAGAGGAGAGAGGCTCCCTCCCCCTACCTAATTTCCTCCTCACCCGCCCTCCTCCCGCGCCAAGCCTTTCCCGCCGCCCTCCCTCTTTCCTTTCTCCCTCCCAGGCTGTGGCTGCCGCGGTGCCGGCTAGGGCGGCTCCGGATGCTGGAGCTTGGGGAAGGCACGAGGACCCGCGCATCATCCCACGCGCCCTGCCGCGGGGGCCGGAGCTGGAGGGAGACAGTGCGCAGCGGGACGCTGGCTATGGGATGGCGGGCGTCAGGCGCACCCTGGGAGCACCTGGGTCCGGGCGGCCCCGCCGGATAGCGAGAGAGGGACCTAGGTGGTGGTGGCGCAACTCATCCCTCCTTGAGCGCGTCTCCGTGGCGAGTCCCTCCCACCTAGCACCAGCTAACCAGCCATCCCTCTGTCAAAGCTTATATTGGTGGCTGGGGAGGGAGTCCTGTGGTCGCCGATCCCTCAGGGCTCCTTTGCCTGGACCCAGTGAGAGCTGGAGGAAAAGGAAGCGCCCAGGTCCACACTGACCTGACTCACCTTTGACTGAAGTCTTCAGTTGGAATAGATGCGGTTGTCGCTGCTGGTGGCACTGCCTCCTCTGGCACTGCTGGAGCTCCTGAAAGAGCAGATACTTGGCTGTGTCGAGTTCGATCTCAGCATCTGAAGGCCAGTAACAGAAGTGGCTCAGAATTACAGTTCTGGAAGGGCCTTGTGGAAGCCAATTAGTAAACTCTCTGCCTTAAGGCAGGACCTGTCCTCATTCATGACAGAGAAGATTGCTACATGTAAAGCTCTTTTTCTGTTCCCAAGAGATGTATCCCATCATAAGTATTCTTACGTCCTGTCCATCAACTGTCATGGCTTTTCTTCTCGGTATTAAATATACATCACTTAAACTAGCCTTGAACGTTCTTCTTTTCAGATTTCAGCAAAGACGAACAACAATTATTAGTCATATTCTGATACATATATATGACAGTTATATCACAACTCATTTCTGGCTAAATAGCTCCAGGCCCTTTCACCTTACTTCACAGGTGTTACTTTTAGCCTTTTTTTTTTTTTTTTTTTTTTTTCCTGACTTTCCTCCAACATGCACTAAACTCTTCCTAGTAAGTCTCCATTCCTGATTGCACCAACCGTTAACATGGTCCAATATTTTAATCTAATTTATGGATTTATTAATCTTAAAAGCCTGCCTGCTATACTGGTGAACAAACAACCAAAAATATCCAATCAAGTAGTTACAGGAATGTGATTCCTAGCTGATTGGAAATTGAAAATAAATACAGTCATGCATCTCTTAACCACGGTGAGAAGTTGAAGAGATGCATCCTTAGGCGATGCAGTTGTGAGAACATCATAGGGTGTACTTGTACACATCCAGATAGTATAGCTTACTACACAGCTACACTGGATGGAATGGTCAATTGTTCCTATACTGCAAACCTGTACAGTATTTTACTGTACTGAATACTATAGGCCAACGGTCCCCAACCTTTTTGGCACCAGGGACCGATTTATTGGAAGATACTTTTTCCACGGACAGCGGGTGGGGAAGATGGTTTTGTGATGATTCAAGTGCATTACATTTACTGTGCACTTTATTTCTGTTATTATTATATTGTGATTCATAGTGAAATAATTATACAACTCACCATAATGTAGAATCAGTGGAAGTCCTGAGCTTGTTTTCCTACAACTAGACGGTCCCATCTGGGGATGATGGGAGACAGTGATAGATCATCAGGCAGTAGATTCTTATAAGGAGTGCACAACCTAGATCCCTTGCATGTGCAGTTCACAGTAGGGTTATATGCTCCTATGGGAATCTAATGCTACCACTGATCCGACAGGAGGCAGAGTTCAGGCAGTAACGTGGGAGATTGAGAGCCTCTGTAAATACAAATGCAGCTTTCCTTGCTCGCCTGCAGCTTACCTCCTGCTATGTGGCCCAGTTCCTAACAGGCCACAGACAAGTCTGTGGCCTGGGCGTTGGGAACTCCTGCTGTAGGCAATTGTAACACAATGATAAGTATTTGTGTATTTAAACATATCTAAACATAAGAAAGGTACAATAAAAATATGGTATAAAAGGTAAAAAATGGTACACCTGTATAGGGCACTTACCATGAATGCAGCTTGCAGGACTAAAAGTTCCTCTGTGTGAGTGAGTGAGTGGTGAGTGGATATGAAAGCCTAGGACATTACACCACTGTAGACTTTATACATACTGTAAGCTTAGACTACACTAAATTTATTTAGAATAGTTTCTTTCTTCAATGGTAAATTAACCTTAGTTTACTGCAATTTTACTTTATAAACTTTTAATGTTTTAAAACTTTTTGACTGTTGTATAGCAATGCTTAATGGAAACACAAATACAAGATATTTTATACAAAATATATTGTAAAGCTGTACAAAAATATTTTCTATGTATCTTTATTCTATAAGCTTTCTTCTTTTAAAAACAACTTTTAACTTTTTGAACTTTGTTAAAAGCTAAGACATACACACACACTAGCCTAGGTCTACAAAGAGACAGAGTCATCGATATCATGTCTTCCACCTCCACATCTTGTCCCACTGGAAGCTGAAAGGTCTTCGGGGCAATGACATGCATGGAGCTGTCATCTTCTATGATGACAATGCTTTATTTGGAATACCTCCTGAAGGACCTGCCTGAGGCTGTTATACGGTTAACTTTTTTTATAGCTAGAGGAGAAAACTCTAAAATAACAATAAAATGTATAGTATAGTAAACACTATACTAGTATTTACTCGTAACATAGTATAAACTAGTAACGTAGTCATTCATTACCATTATAATGTACTATACATAATTGTATACACTATACTTTTATATGACTGGCAGCACAGTAGGTTTGTTTACAGTGGCATCACCATAAACACATGGGTAATGTATTACACTATAAGATTAGGCTATGATGTCACTAGGTGACAGAAATTTTTTAGCTCTATTAGTCTTATGGGACCACCTTTACACATGCAGCCCATTGTTGACCAAAATGTTGTGCGACACATGACTGTACAAAAACTATTCCTCATGATAATTTTATAATGATGAGCACAAACTCAATGTACAAATGCTCTAACAAATAACAAGTATATGCAAATTCATACAAATTCACTTACATACTAGCTTGTTTGGTGAAAGAGTGAAAATGCCCACATGACGTTACTTTTCAAAGAATAGATTCACTAATCATGTTGAGAAATCAAGTTCACAAGCAAAGCAAGATAATAAAGCTGTCTAAATTCTAGCTTTGACTCAATGTTTCCCTTGGCTTGCACTGACCAGTGGAGAAATGGGCATGAAATAGTTGCTAGCCCATTTTTATTCTTACTTCCTTGAGGCAAGTCCAGCAGCAACAGCACTGCATATAAATGTTTGTCTGTTGCTAGCAATTCTTTTACAGCATAAGCCCAAAGCAAGCATGCTACATTAAAGGAGATGGCAAGCTTTTCTACTGCTATTTCAGGTAACAATGGTGCAAGAAAACCATTTCATGGTACAGAGGTGATTATAGAATTCGTATTTATATTCAGCATAAGTTTAGTCATTTTACATCTATGCTTTTCATAATTGACTTTTGTAAATATGCTATTAATTGAAGTTTAAAAACAGGATATTTTGTATAATCCATGCAGCTTACTTTTATTTAAGACATAGATAAAAATTAATAAATATTAAAATAGATGAAAGAGGAATTAAATATACAAAATGTAGCATTACTTCTTATCAAAACTCAACTGAAAAGGAACAGGGTTATTATCCCACAAAAAGAAGGAGAGAAATGATGTCAACTGAATCTTGAACATATGAACAAACAGTAACAGACTTAGAGGAGTTAATAAGCCTGAAACCTAGATTTTCAATGGAAAAAGCCAATAAGAAGAAATCTAATCCCTACTATAAAATCAAGACATATTCAGAAGTTAGAGTACCAGCTAGTTCTCAAGGTGAGGTATAGAACAGAGAATAAAACATTGTTTAAAAATTTCTGTAAAAGTTATTAGGCCCCTTCATCCAAATTAGAAAGGAAGAAGTCAAATCGTCCTTGCTTGCAGATGTAGTGATCTTATATTTAGAAAAGCCTAAAGACTCCACCAAAAAAAAAAAAAAACTATTAGAATTGATCAACCCAGTAAAGTTGCAGGATACAAAATCAACTTGTGAAAACAGTAGCATTTCTGAAATAGAAAATGAAAAAGTAATCCCATTTACAATAGCTACAAATAAAACAAAATATCTAGAGATAAACTTAACCAAAGAAGTGAAAGATGTCTACAATGAAAACCATAAAACATTGATGAAAGAAATGGAATGGGACACAAAAAAAATGAAAATATATTTTATGTTTATGGTTTGGAAGAAACAATATTTTTAAAATGCCCACACTACCCAAAGTAATCTACACATCCAATGCAATGTCTATCAAAATGCCAATGACATTCTTCACAGAAATAGGAAAAATAATGCTAAAATTTATGTAAAACCACAAAAGAAGCCAAATAGACAAAACAATCCTGAGGGGAGGTGGCGGCGGGGCGGTGGGGGCGGAAAGCTGGAGGTATCATCTTGCCTGGTTTCAAAGTATAATACAAAGGTATAGTAACCTAAAGAGCATGATACTGGCATCAAAATAGATATATAGACCAGTAGGACAGAATAAAGCACTCAGAAATAAATTCATGCATTTACAGTCAAATCATTTTTGAGAAAGGCATCAAGAACATATAATGGGGAAAGGACACTCTCTTCAATAAATGGTGCCTGGAAAACTGGATGTCCATTTGCAGAAGATTGAATCTAGACCCTCTCTCTCATGATACAAAAATCAAGTCAAAGTGGTTTGAATACTTCCATCTAATACCTGAAACTAGGAAACTACTAGAAGAGAACATTGGGGAAACACTCCAGTCATTGGTCTGGGAAAGATTTCTTGAGTAAGGTCTCAAAAGCACAGGCAACCAAAGCAAAAATGGACAAATTGAATCACATCAAGCTAAAGTTTCTGCACAGCAAAGGAAACAATCAAAAAAAGTGAAGAGACAACCCACAGAACGGAGAAAATATTTGCAAACTATCCATTTGACAAGGGTTTAATAACTAGAATATATAAGAA